CAAACTTTCGGCGATTATTTTACGAGGTATTACAGTTCTGGTTCAGGTCTGTTTGCCGGCAGGGGAAAACCACAGGAGAGGGGTAACGGGAATGGGAGGTCACGTTCAAAATCAAAATCCTCTAACAAAGTTAAGTGTTATCTTTGCAAGGAGAAGATGCACGTTAAAAGGGATTGTCCACAGAAGAAAGGAAATACAAAAGTTGATTCTTATGGGCGCACCTAGGTTTATTTGCTTAATTAGGGGTAGTTAACGGTCGTACCTTAATTACCTACACTGTAAGGAAAAATTGGTTGTCAGAGCTTGTTGATAACTATAACCAATTTATTGATACTTTAATAAGAATTAACTTTATTGAATTAATGATAAAACACAAGTGCCATAACTGCATCATCCCTTGAGCCAGACATCCCCTTGATAGTCAATTCCCCCTTAATTTAATTGCTTTGTTATTTTATTTTCATTAGATAATAAAAGAAAAATCCCCCTTTATTTACTGCATTAGAATACGAAAGAGTGAATCACACAATCCCTGTGGAGACGATCCCTTCCCCTGTATTACATTAAATTGTGATCACGGATTAGGTGAAATATTTGATTGATCGCGCAACAGGTCAATTTTTGGTACACGACAGTTCTGATGATGGGGACTTTGGTGAAGTTCTGACAACCTGTAGTGCTAGTACTGCTGATTTCTGGATTATGGATACCAGTGCTTCTCACCATATGACGTTCTCTCGTGATCTACTCACTTCTTTTAAGGAGTGGAATGGAACGGTGACGTTAGGTGATGATGGGGTTCTAGCCATAAAGGGGAGCGGGATAGTGCAGATAAAATTTCATGACAGTACTGTCAGGAAGTTTGACTGTTGGTATGTTCCTGAACTCAGAAAGAATTTGATTTCTCCTGGTACCTTAGCCAAGAATGGTTTAAAATATAAGATGAGTGGGTGAAAGTCCTGCTCTGGTAATGATGAAGGGAAAACTGCAGCATGGAATTTATTTTCTACAGGGCAGTTCAGTGATGGGAATGGCGGCGGTATCCCAGTCCTTGGATAAACATGATGACAGGACAAATTTGTGGCACTGTCGATTAGGTCACATGAGTGAGCTAGGGTTGTCTGTGTTGAGCAAGTAGGGTTTATTTGGTGGGGATGTGATAGGTAAAATTCAATTATGTGAGGCTTGTGTAAAAGGGAAGCAACGCAGGGTGAGGTTTAGTACCGGTCATCAAACTTCAAAAGAAATTCTGGAGTATGTTCATTCAGATCATTGGGGTCTCTCTCCGGTGAAATCGCAGGGCGGGTGTTCTTACTTTCACTTTCATAGATGATTATTCGAGAAAAGTCTGATTGTACTTTCTAAAGACTAAAGATGAGGTGTTTGGGAAGTTCAAGGAGTGGAAGACAATTGTTGAAAAACGGATGGGTAAACAGGTCAAGACTCTAAGAATGGGTTGGAGTTCTGCAACGCTGCATTTGATGATTTCTGCAAAAAAGAAGGTATAGTGAGGCATCGCACTGTACGACACATACCACAACAAAATGGAGTTGCAGAGCAAATGAACCAAACCCTCATGGCGCGTGCTAGGTGTATGCGCATATTTGCTGGCTTATTTAAGCAATTTTGGGCTGAACACTGCTAGCTATCTGGTTAATAGATCTTCATCAACTGCAATTGACTTAAAGACTCCTCAAGAGGTATGGTTCGGTAAACCCTCTGATTACTCTAATCTAAGAATATTTGGATGCACTTCATACGCTCATGTGAATTATGGTAAGCTGGAGCCGAGGGCGGTAAAATACATATTTCTAGGATATGCAACAAGAGTAAAAGGTTATCGACTGTGGTGTACAGAAGGTAAAAATCCTGGTAAATTTCTTATTAGCAGAGATGTAACCTTTGATGAATCTACTATGCTTGATCAAAGTAGAGGTTGTGAAAGTATTGCATGTACAAAAGATTGTGGTTTTGACCAGAGGGTGGAGTTTGAGACTCCTGATAGAGTTGTGTTAGAGAAGAGCAGCAGGATAATACTATTGATCAATCCGATCAACCAGATCAGTCAACACCTCAAGGAAAACCGGTTAAGGGGGAAGCTGATGACGCTAGTACTGGGGTTGAAGATTCCATAGCATCAAAAAAAGGAAAGAGAAATATTTAGAAACCAGCTAGGTTTGCAGGATGTGTCAATACATGTGACATGAATTCTGTGGCTTATGCACTGGCGGTTGGTGATGATCTTGACTCTGATGAGCCAAAGACATAACGAAGTTGTGGCGAGTAAAGATGCAGAAACCTGGATTATGGCAATGAATGAAGAGATGCAATCTCTTGAAAAGAATAAGACTTGGGATCTTGTTGCACTATCAAAATGGGTGAAGCCAGCGAGATGCAAGTGGGTCTTTAAAAGAAATGAGGAAATTTCTGGTGTTGAACCTGCTAGGTTCAAGGCGAGACTGATGGCAGAAGGGTTCTCACAGAAGGAAGGAATCGATTACATAAAGTCTTTTCTCATGTGGTGAATCACAAAACCATTCGGGTTCTTTTGGCAATAATGGGTGCTTTTGATCTGGAGCTGGAGCAGTTTGATGTAAAAACAACATTCTTTCATGGTAATCTAGAAAAACAGATTTACATGTCTCAACCGGAGGTGTTCTACGGTTCTAAAGGGGACCAGGTATGCTTGTTAAAGAAATCTCTGTATGGTTTGAAGCAGTCTCCGAGGCAATGGTATAAGAGATTTAACTCATTCATGGTGTATAATAGTTATACTCGTAATCAGTTTGATAACTGTGTTTACTCGAAGAAAGTTTCTACTGATTCCTTTGTGTATCTGTTGTTGTATATGGATGATATGTTAATTGCAGCTAAAAACATGGCTGTAATAAATGATTTGAAGGCTCTACTAAAGGGTGAGTTTGAGATGAAGAATTTAGGTGCGGCAAAAAAAATACTTGGTATGGAGATCTGGCGTGATAGAAAAGCAGGACGGCTATGGGTTTCTCAAGAAAAGTATATTGAGAAAGTATTGTAGGCATTCTCTGTTGATCAGTCCAAACTGGTAAGTACCCCTTTGGCGGCACACTTTAAACTTGATCGAAGTACTATACCGGGTACAGATGAAGAGGTTAGCTACGTGAAGATGGTTCGATATTCAAGTGCAGTTGGAAGTCTTATGTATGCGATGGTATGTACGAGACCAAATCTCGCTTATGCGGTTAGTGTGGTGAGCAGGTTTATGGCTAATCCGGCTAAAGCTCACTGGAAAACTGAAAAGTGGATCTTGCGATATTTGAAAGGAGCTTCTGATATTTGTCTGGTATATGATGATAAAGACCATGGCGATGGTCTTGTTGGCTATGCAGACTCTGATTACGGGGGTACTTGGTGAAACGAAGATCACTAACTTGTTTTATCTTCACTCTATTTGGATGTGCAGTCAGTTGGAAGTCTATTTTACAACCTACGGTTGCACTGTCAACGATTGAGGCGGAATACATGTCAATGACTGAAGGTATTAAGGAGGGTATCTGGTTACATGGTCTGATGCAGAGTTTGGGTTTGAAGGTGGAAAAACCGGTGTTATTCTGTGATAGTCAAAGTGCTTTGAGTTTGGCTAAAAATCCAGTGTATCATGAGAGAACTAAACATATTGATGTAAGGTTGAATTTTTATTCGTGATGTTTTGGAGGAAGACAGGTTTTCTATTCAGAAAATAGCTACAGAACACAATCCGGCTGATATGTTGACAAAGGCGCTACCGACGGAGAAGTTTGAGCATTGCTTGAACTTGGTGAATATTCGCAGGAGGTAAAGCCCTCTCGGGGCATCTGGCAGGAAGGAGACGACTGAGAGATACTGACGAACCTTTGGCGGTTGGAGAAACTCCAAGTCAACGTGGAGATTGTTGAAACGTGACTTGAATTTAGCGGTCTACCCGACCCGAAACCAAAGCGAAAGGGCTGTTTCAATTGACATGATTCCTTTTGGGCTTATCCTAATCAATAACAAATAGGCTTATGGTTTTGGGTGTTTTGGGTGCTTATAAATAGATAGCTATGGTTGACACACCATCACTGAACCACGTAAAATCTCTGTGTTCTTTATTTGTTTTCTTTCTCGTTTTCTCATAACAATATGAAATATAAAAACATTTTTAATGTTAAGTAGAATGACGTAGAAGGTAAATGTAGACCTTAAATCTGGACGAAGGGAGTATGATAAATTATTATTAGTATTGGGCCCTCAGGCAACCTACCTTGCATCGGGGGCCAACCCACGCTCATGTGGTTGGTTTGTTTAGGCTTGCTTTTTAACGAGTTTACAAAGTTATAATCCAACCCTCTTCTAAAGTGGAGCGGGTGGGGCAGACCAACCCGGTTGAGCATTTTCGTGAAATCCGTACTACTACCCAATTTGGGAGTTAGGTAGACTGGTAATGTTCATTGAATCATTAGTATTGTATTGGAGGTGCAATTCTCGATATATGCTTATTTTATGGTACAAGTATATAGAGTCGTTCGAATATGTCATGCAAATGAAATGGGTAGTCATGACAACTAACTGGAGTGAATGGTCATGAAAGATTGGTGGAAACCCATAGAATAAGTGTCAAACTGAGGAAAATATACACTTTGAGTTCCCAATTTGATAAAATTATTGTCAACGTGACAACTAACTGGAGTGAATGCTCATGAAAGATTGGTGGAAACCCATCGAATAAGTGTCAAACTGAGGAAAAGTGTACAGTTTGAGTTCCCAATTTGCTAAAATTCATGTCAACATGACTGTACCTACAAATATGTGCTATAAAGAGTTGAAAGCATATATCTACTTGACATTCTAGTGTACTTCAGGCCCTAGGATTAGAGCATCCAAATTTGGAGTGGAAAATAAAAAATGATTTAACATCAAATCATGAATCATATCCACCCCTAACCCTCTTAATGTTCATATCTTTCCGTTTAATTGTAGTTGTTTTCTGGAATTTATTGCAGGTTGGCATGGCAGCCACACTAGCTGGGGTATGCCAAGTTCCCCTTACTTCAGCATTGCTTCTTTTTGAACTAACCCAGGATTATCGAATTGTTCTACCACTTTTGGGGGCTGTGGGGCTCTCTTCACTGATTACATCCGACAAGACAAGGAAACAATCCATAGACAACACCAAGGATTCAAAAGATGGGAAATTCGCAGCAACTTTACCTGAAAGATATTCTAAATATTCTACTCCTGATGTCATAGAGCTGAATCGAACAAATATTTGTGAACTTGAGAGTTCACTTTGTCTGGATGGGGATTTAGATGATGATGCAAGTTACTTTGCCGATGAAATTCTTGTTTCACAGGCCATGAGAACAAAATATGTCACAGCACTGATGAACAATTCTCTGACAGAAGTGGTGTCTCTCATGCTGGAAGAGAAGCAAACTTGTGCACTAATTGTTGATGATAATGATCAGTTTCTTGGTCGACTGACTCTCGATCAAATTCAGCAATTCATCCAGTCTTCAATTAAAAATGGAAGGAAATCACAGGTAGCTTTGTATATGAAATGATAGCTTTTTTTTTTTTATTGTTTAAGTGGGAACTTTCCTAATAGTTTTGAGTGCAGACGAAGGTAATTGTTATGTCTAAGCAAGGGTACAAACGCATGGATGTGAGATCTATAATCTGTGCATACAATGCCTTTTCAATAAAGAACAAATGAAAGAAAATTCATAATGACTTGAATACATGCGGCTTTTGGACTTGAAATGATGACCATAATTCTCCTTCATTTTATCCCTTCTATAAAAAAGGTACTCAATATCCGTGAATCTGCAAATTGCAATATATATTGCTTGGTGGGAGCCATTTGATAAATGTTACAAGATTGACCATTTTGTGCCCATTTAGTTCATTTTTTGAAGCTTCAGTTTTAAGGTGCAAACATGATTTCTTGTTTAGTATTATATGATTGAATTCCATGCTCCATTTTTTACGTCATGTGTCTTAACAAGAACTTATTGCTTCCTTACCAAAAAACCCCGGCAAGCAAAAAAGCATTTTAAATTTATGACAATATTGAATGATGCTACTTGGTAAAGTAACTTAAATGATTTTTCATGACTGAATGTTTCATCTGATGAGTTGTTTTATTCAACGGCCTTCTAACCTGGCGCCCATTTATTCAAAAAATTGAAAAGCATCTGTTTTTCAAATTCTGAATAAACCCGTGCTCCATCCAGACCTTCTGGCACTTGTGTTTTTTAATATCAGGAGTGACCTAACACCTTCAATCATTAGAAGCTCCAATATTGATATTGGTTCTCTGCTTTATTTCTTCCAGTTGTTTCTTGTGTTACATAAATAGAATTCACCTGGTGATTGATATTTTTCATCTGAGAGCAAAGGAATCCTGTGATTTTCTTGTAATTCCTTTGTAATTAGATATAGTCTGATAGTATCTTATACCAATGTATTAGTCATTTATTCTGCTAGCTAGTGAGGGTGGTATCTATCTGTGGCTGCCATGTTATTGATCCACAAGAAACTTGAACATGAAGTAAAAATGATGAGAGTTTAGATGCCTGAGAAATTGGTGAAATTAAAAAGGAATGAGAATGTCATGCATTTGGAGTTGATATCAATTTAATTGAGTCACAACAGGTTTACTGAAGATTTCAAGTTATGCCACTGTGCTCGAGGATCCTTAGTATTATTACAAATGAGTTTGATGTATGGAATTTTCTTACTGTAGGTGCTTAGAGTAAGTATCAAGCATCCTTAGTATTATACAAATGAGTTTGACGCTTGGAATTGTCTTACTGTAGGTGCTTAGAGTATCTGAGCTGTGCTCCTCTTATGGTGAAGGTTGTTTGTTTTCCTGGAAAGTGACCCCAAACATGGACCTCAGTTCTGCATTAACTTTGATGAATAGGCACAACATGAGCCAGCTAGCCGTTATTTTGGAGGATGGGGACCACAGAGGCTGCCCAGTTGGGCTTTTGGATAGAGAATCCATTGACCTTGCTTGCAGGTAATAATTCATGCATCCAAGTAAAATTTAGCTATCCAACATCTGTTTAAAAAATGAAAATATTTGTTTCTCGGTCTCATGCATACCTTAATGCTCCTACTTATCTACATACCTGTTGTAATGTTCACTTGCCATATATTGTAATGTTTATCCCGACAGGGCGTTTGCGGCCTGGAGGGGCCTCGACTGGCTTCACACACAGGAGGAATTCAGGAATTGAGATGCTTTGTAAAGTGGGGCAATTTGGGCTGGGCGTTTGCAGTTTGGATGGGGGCTCAACTGGCTACATACATGCAGGAGATATCCAAGAATTGAGAGCAAAATAATTTGAGGAAGTATTTTCTTCTGTCACATATCTATTGTCCTGTTTTATAGGTTCAAATTTTATTATCTCGTTACCATAAAGTTGTATCACTATAAGCATTTTTATTTTTTTTTGGTTAATGTGCAAAAGTCACTCTTCTTTTATATCTAAGCTAAAACATATATTCACAAGTAGAAAAAGACATAGCATCTTCCGTCCAGGAGAGAAAAGGTTTTAGAACGATTTCGTAACAAGACCGTTTTAGCAATATATATATATATATATTTATTTATTTGTTCATGTACTAATGTCATATATTTCCTTTGTGGAACTTTAAGGTTATATTTATTTTTTGCACCCAGATTAAACACTATTAGTATTTTAATAGTGGTGGGAAAATGTAAACCTTTAGCCAGAGAGACTAAAAGAAAAATATGTAAATATTAAAAATGGACGGAGGTAGTTTTTATTTTATAAGAACAATGCATTGCATATGATTTTAGAATTTTTTTTTAAAAAAAATAATTTTTTTTTTATTTCATATTAAGGTATTATTTTTTATTATTTTTGTATTGTTCAAAAGTATTTATTTTTTATTTTAATAAAAATAATTATATAATAATATTAAAGTATATTTAACTTTTATTTAAATTATAAATATACAATTACATATACAAAAAATATCAAAAATTTTTACACAATTACCATAATTAATAAAATAGTTTTATTTTTCAATTTACTACAAAATTAATAAAATACTATCCCATTTTTAAAGAGAATTATATTCTAATTTTTAAGCCCATTAAAATACGAATTAGAACGAGACCGCAGGTTAGAAATAGGTTAACCGGCAATAGAGCGGGTTCGTCTATAAGCCAAGTAAATATAATTAGTATTTATGTTATAATCATAGTATATTTTTTATATTTTCTTCATCCGGAACAATACATCTATTTTATCATTTTAATTTGTTCTAAATCAATTTATCCATTTCATTTTAGTAATTGTAATTATTGCATAATTTTTTTTCTAAAAAAAAAATCTTACAACTTTTATATTATTACAAAATATTGTCATATTGTTGTTTAACTAATTTGAATTTTTATGGATAAATTCGATTATTCTTGTACTAATACATATAAAATACTATAGCACAGATCATGTGCTGATTATTTCAGCTCTTATGCTGATTAACTAAACATTACTATCTTGATTATATTTTAAATATAACTAAAAGATATAAATTGATAGCAAACGTTCTTGTAGTTTTGAAACTCAGTGTAAATATCTCGTTTAGTATTGTGTCCTTTTTTACTTTAAAAACATTGAATGAAACTGTCTGTGTTTCAAAACTTTGCGTAAATTCCTATTTTACTTTAAAAATTGTGTAACGTTCTCTTATAATTTAAAAAATATTGCATGAAAACCCGGCCATAAAAAATATAGATAGAAAATCATCTTCTTATCGTACAAAAAGGTTTAATGATTGTGGAGTTTCATGCAATGTTTTTTTTTAAAAATATAAGGGGGCGTTATGAAATTTTTAAAGTATAAGAAAATTTTACGTTGAATTTCAAAACCACGCGGGAGTGATGAGAAATTTTACAAAATTAATTTAACATTTTTTATAGTAAAAAAAAACAAAATTCAACATTCAATCAACGAGCAAAATGCTAATATTAAATAAATAGTTCAAAAACTAATCTGAGATATACATATAGATTGAGAGAGTAATATAATTTATAGTAATTTTCGAAAATAAGTAACTAATAATATTTATGTCGTTGATCTCCCTTTTTAACTATCTCGTTGATATCGTCATCTTTTTTGTTTCAATTTTTTGTCATTTATTTTGTTTACGTTTTATCTCTCATTGTCTTATAGTTTTTTGTTTTTATTATTATTCACAATTTATTGAGAGATTTATAAGAATAATTCTTATTTATTGTTTAAATGTTTTCAATTATCAATTTTAAAAAAATTATATATTGATCAATGATATTTAAAATTATGAATTGGTTTGATTAGATTTTTTTTAAAATCTTTATTATTTGAATGATACGATATAATAATTGTTTAAATATTAATTATAAAATATTACTCTATATATCTCAATTTAAAATATTTTTTTTTTATTTTCGTTTACAGAGCATATTTTTTATTTTAATAAAAATAATTATACATTAATATTCAAATATTTTTTAATTTTTTATTTAAATTATAGATATACCACTATATATATACAATTAATTTACATATAAAATTAAAAAAAATATATATCAAAACCTTTAGATTGGTCTACAAACAATTCGTTTATTTGCGAGTCAAGCTAGGTTGGAGGCTAATCAGTAAACTAAAAATTAAATAAGTAAATTTGATGACGAAGATATTTTACGGGACTTATAATTTTTGCCGGCTTTATGGCAAGTTTGGGTGTGTCTGCTTGGATGCTTTGACTTGGATTTAATTTAATATAAATAAAAAATAATGTGATATTTTAATATTAAATTTAATTTTTTTATGTAATATAAATATTTAAATTAATGTTTTTAGGAAAAAGAATTATAAATAATTTAAATTTAAACGAACACATGTTGGTGAAGGTGTTTTTATTTTTCTTTTTAAATAAGTATAATAATATTAATATAAATTATATTAAACGTTATATATAATTATAATTATAATTATAATTACAATTTATTTATTATATGTATTTTAATTAATAATATTGTTATGTTATGAATTAATATTTAATATTATATTAAAATTAATTATAATTTTATAAATAATTATAGTGAATTTATATATTTTATTATTAATTTATAAAATATAATAATATATATAAATATAGCAATTAAATACTCTCTCCATCCACACATAAAGTATAGATTTATTTTTGGCGATTAAAAAATAATAGTATTTTACTTATATTGGGTACTTAAAAGTAGTGTAATGACATTTTTGTCATTTACTTTTTGGTATAAAAGTAAAAATGTGATGTAAAATAAGGGTATTTGTGAAAAAAAGTGAAGTATTTAATAAAATATTTACTTTATAATTGGACATCCCAAAATAAAAATATGTATACTTTCTAATTGGAATGAGGAAATATAAAATATTAATATATAAAATTTATATTAAATAAAATAATAATTTATTGACGTAGAAGGGAGAAAATTTTAAAAATTTTATTTTGAATTCTAGAAGTAAAGAACCGAGTGACGTGATGTGGGCTAGGAGAAAATTATAAAAAAATTCACAAATTATATATTCTTTCCGTCTCTTAACAAACTATCTATTTTTTTATTTTAGTTTTCATTTTTCTTTTAAGTAATTGTACTATCTATCTAATATTACAAATACCATTCTAATTTACAATATATTACACAAATATCAAAACTTTTATATCATATAATAGTAATAAGGTTAGTTTAGTCCTTTTACATTTATTTCTATTATATTCTAATATAATACTAATATTTCTAAAAAATTTAATAAAAAAAAAAAACAAATAAATAGATATGAGATGGAGGGAGTACATAAATTTCATTACAAACTAAGAGTTTGTTTGTTTAGTGTTTTGATTTGATGTATATATATATATATATATTTTTATGTAATGTACAAGAATTGTGTAAGTAATATAAAAAATAATACTACCCCCGTCCCGTAAGAAGAGTAACTTTTATTTTTTGCACGTAGATTTTTGAATAATTGTATTATATTAGTTTATAGTGAAAAGACAAAAATACCCCTATTAGATTGTGTAACATAAAAGTAATGACATTTATGTAATATTTTGAAGTTGTAAGGATATTAATTATGTTAGGTATATAATACAATTACTTAAAAAAAGAAAAAAAAAATGTATCCTTGTTTTGTGACAGATAAAAATAGAAAATAGTATCATTCTTATGGGACGGATGAAGTATTTTATATTGAATGTTAATTTTTTGTAAAATAAAAATATAAGGTAAATTGTATTTTTAGTGCCGTAACTGGACCCCGTTATCATTTTAGTCTCGTGACCTGTCGCGCAGTCAATTAAATATTTCACCTAATCGTGATCACAATTTAATGTAATACAGGGGAAGGGATCGTCTCCACAGGGATTGTGTGATTCACTCTTTCGTATTCTAATGCAGTAAATAAAGGGAAATTTTTCTTTTATTATCTAATTAAAATAAAATAACAAAGCAATTAAATTAAAGGGGAACTGACTATCAAAGGGATACCTGACTCAAGGGATGATGCAGTTATGACACTTGTGTTTTATCATAAATTCAATAAAGTTAATTCTTATTAAAGTATCAATAAATTGGTTATAGTTATCAACAGGCTCTGACAACCAATTTTTCCTTACAGTATAGGTAACTAAGGTACGACCGTTAACTACCCCTAATTAAGCAAATAAACCTAGGTGCGCCCATAAGAATATTGTCTAACCGCATTCCAATTTAGAAAAACCCAATTCAAAACAATTACTACCTAAGAGGAGCAATTAGATTTGATTGTCTAACCTCCGAGAAGGAACTATTCAACCCGGTTGTCACATATTCAAGTGTGAATATAATTACGGATATCCTACCTGAATTGACTTTAGATTATCAGACTAATTTAAATATCGGTACCAAAATATTCAATCAATCTAACAATCACAAACGCTATTCTCAGAATTAGACAAATATTGATAATAAAAAAGAACTTTTATAAAGAAAATCAAGAATCTCCAAAACAAAAGAACCAAAACATTATCACCCCTCAAACTAGAAAAGTATCTACTCCATAATCAAGTAACAAAGTACAAAAGAGAAAGATAAAGTCATAGCGGGAGAGGGAATCTTCTCTGTCGATTTGCTCCTACGCGATCTATGAGTCTGTTAGTGTCCTGCTCCTGTGCGTATCTGCCTTAGCCGTTCTCTCCTCCTATAGGCGTGTGTTCCCCCCTTTTATTTAATTTTTGCCCTAATTATTTTGTAGATGGGCTTTTGGGCATTTAATTAATTTCTCATATCAAAAGGGTGTAGTTAGTCATGACTAACTAGGTTGTGCAAATCTGAATTTTTCTTCCCTTTTTTTGCCAATTATACAAAATTTGATATTTGCCCTCTGCACACAGCAAATAAAACGCATGCGATTTCCAACTATCAATTCTCCCCACACCTAGATCATGTTTGCCCTCAAGCATAAATTCAAAATAAGCCAAAGAAATCGCAGGCAACTCGATATGACAAGATGATCCAACACAGCCAATTCAATCCGAATTTTAACACATCAAGCCAAGTCAACCTCACACGATA